CTGTCTGCCAAAAAATAAAGTCTTTAAAAAAAGAAAAAAGCCAAGGGGTGTCTGCTCTAGGCCTGGGGCCTCCACCAGTCACACCACCTGGTAAGAGGTACCCTTGTCCACCAAGGCTCAAGACCATGCAGTCCATGCTACATCTGGAAGCTTCTGCAGCGTGTGGGAATTCTTGCCAGTTCCCAGGCCCTCTCAAGTACTTTATGTGCAGGTAGGCTCTGTTGGTTACCCTTGTTCCCTGAACCTAAAAATGGGGCCTGGTTCATTCTGCAGAGACAGGAAGTCAGGAGGGCACTGGGGTTCACAGGCCAGCACTGCTCACCACCTTCACCCTCCCGCCCCCTCTGGGACCCAGTGTGCTGCTCAACGGTGGATGTCCCATGGCGCCAAGACTGCCGATCCCCTGAGTCCCGCACTGTTTAGCACGGGACAGGTGTGGGCGGGTCTCAGGGTTTTGCTGCGACCTGGGGATCGGGGATCGGCTGAAATAGATCCTCCTTGACCTGCTGGACCCAGGTTGGGTCTCCCAGCATCAGTGCCTGTGGAGAAGAGCACAGACCACGTACCATTTGACGCCCACGTTCTCACACAGAGGAGGCTGGACCCCATTGGAGTGGAAAAGGAGTCAGGGAGGGGATACAGCCCAGAGCCCGGGAACTCCGGAGATGGAGGTCTCTAGCTCCATGAGGAGCTTTGGAGCCCATCTGGAGCCCATCTGGAAGTGTTGGTCAGACCAGGCAGACAGCCCGCCTGTGAAAACAGACTATGCAGTTGTGGCGCCGTGGTGAGCAACCTCAGAGCCTCTGCAGCTCTGGGGCCAGCAAGAGAACTTTCCAGAAGCACCATGGAGGTGGGGATCCTTCACCCACAAAAGCATCAAGGCAACTTCCAGGCTAAGACTTTGCATGTAGGCCTCCTCTCAGCCTGTGAGACAGGTCCCTTTCAGCCAGCTGATTGTTTAATTAATTGGTCTTTGGACAGATGACACCTTCATGTGCTGTGTCCTCCCCAGCCCCACCCCCTGATCCACTGACCACCTGTTCGCTCCCCAGGCCGCGGGGAAGGGAACAGCTGAGCTCTGTGCAGACAATAGCCCTGAAGAACAGGGCTGGTGGCAGGGAGGCAGGGGGCAGGAGGGGCGGGGCACATCCCCTGTGTGACCCTCCAGCACAATGGGAAGGGAGCACAAGCTCAGCTCCTCTCGCCACGCTTAGAAAGTAAGCAAGGGAGCATGAAGACCACAGAGTCTCACTTGGTGCCCTGGAATTTGCTCCGGCTACTCTGCTGGGACCCGGGTTTGCCTAAACCCCCGTGGAGGCAAAGCCGAGAATGGAGGCTCCTCCGGAGAAGGGAGGGCTGTGCTCATGGGGTATCACCTAGTTCGTTTATATTGGTGGCCTGTCAGTGTGGACATCGTGACCTTTCTTCTTAGTCCTTTGTTAACCAATGTTATCAGCTCTTTGTATGCCTTTGTGAGGCCCAAAGCCTCACGCAAGTGGGAGGGCTTAGAGGTAAAAAGGTGAATGGGTCAGGGGTCCGAGGAGAGTGCGTTTCTCCACTAGCACTGTGCCCTGTGTCCCTCTGAGAGTGGCTACTCTCTGATCTCAGCACATGGCCCTGTGTGTGGAGGTGGGCAGGGAGAGAACTTGTTTTGAATTTGGTTCTTCCTTAACCACTGCCTGTTGTCGAGGCGAGGGAATCAGGGAGGGCTTTATCCAGTGTCTGGTGATCCGTACGTCACTCTTAAACCTCCTCTCTTGGTTTCCTGTCATAATCTCTCCTAGATCTGAGTATTCAGTCCTGCCAGGCAGCTCCAAGAGTCTAAGGCTTGCTCCTGGCCAAGAATAGCCTCACATTCTAGCAGGCTGCTTCCCTTGCCTTCTGCTAGTGCCTGGAGTAGACCTAACTCCCTTCTCTGTATAAGGGCCCACCTCTCGTCTGCCCAACTCCAGACAGAAACCTTGTGGAGAAAATGGGCTGATTGCTGCCCCTGCTCCGGATCCAGGTCTTCATTCACTTGGCAAATACTCATCATACCTGTGTGTCACGAAGCTGCACAGTGAGCCCTGAAAAGAGGAGCTCTTCCCCAGGGAAGACACGCCTGGGTGTAGACAGACACTCGCAGAATGACCCGGATGTCCAGAAGAGACTCACTGGCCACTCGATGAAAGCCAGACAAAGTGCCGCAGAACATCATGGTGGAAGAGACCTCTGGAGAGCCCTTTCAAAGTGTTTCTAAGCTGACTGGATGGATACACTGGGATTATGGGGTCCAGAGGTGCGCCTGTGCGTCCCAAGAATGATGGCAGGCCCTTGGAGCTCTACCAGCTAGCCTGCTCAAGTCAGACCTTCCTGAGCAGAGCAGAAGCATCAGCCACAGGTGAACATCAAGGCAGCCCACAAGCCTAACATCTACCACGAAGGCTTCATTACAGTCCCATGCACTGGGCCAAGAGGCGGGCTGACTCAGACACCAGACACTGGGAGAAGTAGGAAGCTGTGGTCACGGACCTCACCAGCGCCCCACTGTGCCGGCGGCCTCCCTCACAGTCACCTAAGCTCTACAGGGTGCGCCGATGGAGGCTGAGAGGAGCAGGGGAAAGGCAACATTTGGTGTATCCTGTGCCCTTCCTGGAGGAGACGGGGTTGATGCCCCGTGGGGTTCTTCATGGAAGCCCAGTATCAGGGACCCCGCCACACAGGTCACATTGTGAGTTCCTGCCTGGAGGCCTGGGGGATAATCGCCTTCCTCTTGGCATTCAGCCCAGGGTCTGGCCGACAAGGGAGGGGCTGGAAATCAAGGATAATGGGGACAGGAATACAACAGGCCAGCTGTTGTATCCCCTCTCTCTGAGACGGGGGCCTCTATTGCCAGTGCAGGGGTTCTGGGCCTAAGGCAGAGATGGGGAGGGGAAGAGTCTCCTGGCCCCTCTTAAGAAAAGAACCTACAGTGATCTAACCATGACGTGGTTCTAAGTACATTTCTCTCCACCCAAACTTCCCCCCCCACCACAGATTTTTTGTTTCATTTATTTAAAATGAAGCCAGTGCATCACCTGGTTACAAAATTCAGTAGAAAAGAAGGTAGCCATTTCCCATCCAGTTCTTTTCCAACCTCTCTCCAGAAGCAGCTGATTCTTAAAGACTATTTCTGTAGTGGGTAACGTTATTCCTCCAAATAGGTTTATATGCGTCATGTTGGGTCCAGTACCCGGAATAACAAACGATGGGCAGCTGTGCTGCTCACGCCTTTGGGGATTTTTGGACTCTGGCTCCAAGCAAAACAGCCAGTCATCACAGAGCCCTTGGGGAGCAGGTACCTGTGCACCTGGTCTCATGAGGGACATAGGCATTTTGTTAGTGTGTGTGTGTGTGTGTGTGTGTGTGTGTGTGTGTGTGTTGGGCAGACAGGGAGAATGTACTGGCTATTCATTTATAGACCCAGCAACTGCACACCCTTGTTGGCCGAGGCTGTCTGGTTACTTTGAACCACTGTTTCTACAAGGAAAGCAGGATAAATGCTTACCCCTCCCCAGTTGATGTAATAGTTCCCCCCAACGAACTGGTTTTATTTCTGAGTCTGTTTATGGACTCAGGATCTTTTTTATATTCCCTGTGATTCCACCACGACAAGTGCTACTTTTGATGTTCAAATCTTCCCAACGTCGAGGTCTGGGTTTTCCTTGTACCTTTCCTGTCCAGACTTGGAATCTTTGTGGGAAAGAAGTGTTTAGAAAACAAAATCTGGGTTCTGGGATTAATCCTTGCTACCGCAATGTTCAGGCTTTTAGACCGTTAAGATGACAGAGCAGAAAATGTATTCGGAAAATCGTGAGTCAGGGCACTTGGGTAGCTCAGTGGGTTAAAGCCTCTGCCTTTAGCTCAGGTCGTGATCCCAGGGTGTTGGGATCAAGCCCTGAGTCGGGCTCTCTGCTTAGCAGGGAGCCTGCTTCCTCCTCTCTCTCTCTGCCTGCCTCTCTGCCTACTTGTGATCTCTGTCAAATAAATAAATAAAATCTTAAAAAAAAAAAAAAGAAAAGAAAATCATGAGTTCACGGCGGGGTTGGCTGCACAACAGCGTGTGCTTAATGGCCCTGCACTGCATGCTTTAAAATAGTCAAAATGGTAAATGTTGTGTATATTTCACCACAATAAAAACTAACTTAAAAATTGAGTTTATAATGATATTTCCAATTTGAATGTAATGTCACAGGGTTTTTACTCTACCTGTCTGACTTTATACTTGGTTCCTAATAAGATTGCTATAATTATTTATTTACCTTATTCCATGATAGTCATCGTATAGTTTCAAAAATAATACCAATATTATAAAAAATCTACTAAGTGATGTTTAAAATGTCTTTGTAGCCCTTTTTGTCCACAGAATATATCCTTCAAAGGATACACAGTGTACTGAGTCCCAAAGGAACTCAAAATAATTCTTTTCTCTGGTGCTTCTATTATCAAGTTAATATATGGTTAGATACATTTGATTTGTTCTCAACTTTAGGGTTTGCTTGTTTCCTCTTTTCATTTGATTAAATTTATTGGTGAGAGATAGGTAGATAGATAGATAGATATTCCTTGTGAGATATATACATACATATGGTTTGGTGATATGTGTGATATGTATGCTGTTAAGAATCTGAAATAGGGGGCGCCTGAGTGGCAGTGAGCCTCTGCCTTCGGCCCAGATCATGATCTCATGATCTCAGGGTCCTGGAATGGAGCCCTGCATTGGGCTCTCAGCTTGGCGGGGAGGCTGCTTCCCCTTCTCTCTCTGCCTGCCTCTCTGCCTACTTGTGATCTCTCTGTCCAATAAATAAATAAAATCTTTAAAGTTAAAAAAAAAAAGAATCTGAAATAGGATGTAGCCCAGGACTCCAATGAGAGAAATAAGCTATAGTTTTATTTAGAAGCAGAGTGATCTATATCTGGGGTCCCCTTCCCGACACTCCGTGGTTCCCCCCCTCCTAGGGCCTCCAGGGGCTGAGCAGGATGGAAAACATGTCAGCTGTAGATAGCAACCTTCCCCTCACCCTGCAGCGTGAGGATGACCTTCTGCTCTTCTTTGAAACTGTGCGTGTGACTCTCAAACCAATATTTATCATCCCAGTAATGGGACCACCTCATGAGCTGGTCTGTCCCAAAACCAAATAAGGACACCTGGGAAATAGGATAAGACAGGAGAGAGCCCCAGGGTCGCAGGCTGGATCCTGTCCTGCCCCCATGTCTGCCAGGGATGCTTCAGCACTCATTGAACATCTAGTGTGATAGGCTTCCTCTTAGAGATGGGAGAACAGAGCTCGCCTTCTCCAGGGAAGACACACTCTGAACACACAGTGTGACCCCAGAGCCGAGCTAGAGGGCGTCAACCAGCTGGTTCTCCTCACATTGGAGGAAAAGAGAGGACTCCCCAGGGAGACACGAGAAGGACATTCCCGGCAGAGCCGGCAGTGTGTGAGAAGGCAGGAGGCAGCTGGGGTTTAGGGAACACCAAGAAGCCCCATGTGGGAGCCTGGGAGAGAGGAAGGCGGGGGAGGGGGTCAGATGATGTAGGGTCTTGAAAGAATTTTTAGACTCTCTGCTTGTGTGAGAAATAGACCAGAATCTTTCCTAACCTGGTCGCAGGTATGCAAGGATAGAGCAGAGCCATGAGTGCCAGGAATGCATACTGACCCCGATCACCCAGCCAGTTGCCCTGGTTATACCTGAGGAAGTGGAGCTGATCACCAGGGAGTGGGGAAGAAGAGAGAGGGGCCTGAACTGGGCCCCTTGCCGCAGCAGCCCACAGCCCTGTCTTACTCCCTCCTGTCCCCTTACCTGGTCTTGGTTGCCTTCCATTCCACTAGGGAACTGGACCACCTTCCAGAATCTAAGAGAATTGGGTGGTAGGGGAATTTCAGAAGTCTGAGACCTGGGAAGGTTCTGCAGGTGCCCTCTATAAGTCAGCAGAGGGTTGGGGCGTCTGGGTGGCTCAGTGGGTTAAAGCCTCTGCCTTTGGCTCAGATCATGATCCCAGGGTCCTGGGATTGAGCCCCGCATCGGGCTCTCTGCTCAGCAGGGAGACTGCTTCCTCCTCTCTCTGCCTGCCTCTCTGCCTACTTGTGATCTCTCTCTCTGTCAAATAAATAAATAAAATCTTAAAAAAAAAAAAAATAAGCCAGCAGAGGGTCTCCCTGGAGCCCGTCTGTCCTCCCCTGCAGTGACCTCTCCTGACCCCTGTACTAAGAACGTTTGAGTTCCCAGACCATCACCTCCTCACTCGGATCATCTGAAGTCCACACCAGACCAGAAAGCTTCAGCAGCAACACCAGCTGTCTCCAGGAGCCCTGGATGCTGGCATTCCCAGGGTAGACGAAGCATCCTGAGGTTTGGTTCCTCACCATCTCGAAGCCTTGGGCATGGCCCTGGCTTATCCTGGGAAGGAGAGCAGGAACTGCCAGCACTCCGAGGGTACTTCTGACCTTCCCATGCCCTGCCCTCTCCCCAGCACCCACCCAAAGGCTGTGGGGTACCGGTTGATGTTGTGGCTGAGGCCAGAAGCCCGTAGGGTCTTGGGGTTCCCCACCAAAGCACAAGTCCCACAGTAGAGATGGAAATGGCTCACTGAGGGCCTGGGAATCACCTTGAACAGCTTCTCCCACATTTTGCCAAGCCCATTTTCTGAGTTCATGCCCTGAAAACAGCAGAAGGGAGATTGGGGGCTGGGACCTGGGTATCACCTGGTAGTGGGTGAGGCCCCCATGCTGGGGTCAGGGGTCAAGGCCGTGAAGATGAGAGGTGCGCTAAGCCAGGGCGAGGGCTTGGGTGGGAAAGTGGGACATGGGCTAGGCCTTGAAAGGACAAGGGGTGAGACTGGGCTCAAGGTTGCCCACTGACCAACCACCAGAGCACAGGGTCAGGGGTCAGAGACTCTGTCGTCCCCGTCAGGTACTCCACGGTCTTCTCATAGCGGGCAGCAAACCCTGTCCGTTCTCCAGCTCCGTGGTGCCAGAGGGAGGAGTTTAGCGTCTCAGATCGGCAGCCACTTGTCCTGAGTTGGAGCCAGGGGCGGTTGCAATGCTGTGGTACCAAGACCATCAGTTTCTCCTGGGGGGCTGATTCAGGTCTGAGATCCAGGCAGGGGGCCATCAGCCACAAGAGAACCACCCAGAAGACCCACAGGACAAAAATCTGTCATAAGTGCTTCATGTTCCGCCCAGAGGATGGGTCCTGTGGCCAGTCGTGCACTGACTTCTCTACCTGGGACAAGAAAGAAGGAGGAGGAATTGAGGCCCCAGCACTTCTCTATCCCCTCGGCCCCCAGGGCTCCCCAACCCTCCACACCTCACCTCCCAGCCCCTCATCTCCTCCCTCCCTAGCCATCTGTTCACCTCCAGAGAGGACTACGACTGGCCCTGGGATGGAAAGTGCAAGGGCAGAGAGTGGCCTGTATCCTCCCCACAGGAGGAATCCCGAGCTCTCGGGGTGGTCCTACGTGCCACTACTTATACCAGAGCGCTCATCACAAAACACACATTGTGACCTCCTTCCCCACCAAGCCAAGCGGCCACCCTGTCCTGTCTGCCAAACACCTGTGGTCTACACTGAATGTAAGACCCACAAGGACAGGCACCGAACCTCTCTGTCTTTTTTAGCTCCGCTTCCCTTAGACTTCGAATCATCTAATAAGTATTCATGGAACACACAAGCAGAGTTGAGAGGGAACTTAAAAACAAGGGGCGCCTGTGTGGCTCAATGGGTTAAAGCTTCTACCTTTGGCTCGGGTCATAATCCCAGGGTCCTGGGATCGAGCCCCACATCGAGCTCTCTGCTCCGCAGGGAGCCTGCTTCCCCCTCTCTCTCTGCCTGCCTCTCTGCCTACTTGTGATCTCTATCTGTCAAATGAATAAATTTTTAAAAGTCTTAAAAAAAAAAAAAACCTAGTTAGTGCCAGGGGCGCCTGGGTGGCTCAGTTGTTAAGCGTTTGCCTTGGGCTCAGGTCATGATCCCAGAGTCCTGGGTTCAAGATCTGCATTGGGCTCTCTGCTTAGTGGGGAGCCTGCTTCTCCCTCTCCCACTCCCCCTGCCTGTATTCCCTCTGTCACTGTCTCTGTCAAATAAATAAGATCTTAAAAAAAAAAAAAAACTAGTTAGTGTCAGGGTGATGGCCCCTCTCCAATTGTGTAACTTTGGCTCAAACCTCTCTTCTATTCTCCAGACCTCATATTCAACAACCCAGTGGACTTTCCCTTAGATGTCTCAGAGATCTCTCCTGCTGAACAAGCCTGAGGCTGAACTCATGATTTTCCCTTTAAACCAATCCCTGCCCAAGACTCCTCCATCTCGATAAACATCCCTCTGGTCACCGAGTTGCTGAAGCCAGAAACATCTGTTGTGCTCTCCTGGATTTCCAAAACCATTTTCCATTCATTTGTTTCTGTCTCCACCTTCCTCATCTTTTCTTTTTTAAGGATTTTTATTTATTTATTTGATGGACAGAGATGACAAGTAGGCAGAGAGGCAAGCAGAGAGAGAGGGGGAGGCAGGCTCCCAGCCCAGCAGAGAGCCTGACTCGGGGCTCGATCCCAGGACTCTGGGATCATGACCTGAGCGGAAGGCAGAGGCCTTAACCCACTGAGCCACCCAAGCACCCCTGTCTCCACCTTCTTCTTATCACCTTCTTCATCTCCACTGCCACCCCCTCAATTCAATCTTCACCAGCGGAAAATATTTAAAAACGAAATGACAGGGGCACCTGGATGGCTCATTCAGTTGACTCTTTTTTTTTTCTTAATTTTTTTAAGATTGTATTTATTTATTTGACACAGAGTGAGAGAGAGCAGGGGAGACAGGAGAAGGAGAAGCAGCCTCCCCTCTGAGCAGGGAGCTAGATGCAGGGCTTGATCCAGGACCCTGAGATTATGACCTGAGCCCAAGGCAGACGCCCAGTGACTGAGCCACCCAGGCGCCCCTAGGTAGGACTTCTTAAAAGTTAAAACATCTTGAACTATTAGCTTTGCTTCTCTCTCTCTCTCTCTCTCTCTCTCTCTCTCTCTGTCCCCTCTCTCTCTCTTTTTTTTAACAGCTCAAAGGCCTCACGTTTATTACCAAACCAACCCACTGGTGCAGAGCTATAGTAACAGAAAAAGCTTTCGCTGATAAATGATATCTATTGGACAGGCAGAAAGGTGCTTACAGGGTGACGGAATAGAACACATGATCTTCAAGTAGCTTAATTAAATACGTGGTGCCCATTAGGTGTGTCATCGCGTGATGTGGGACGCCTTAGAGACCCAACTTGGTTCTCCTCCAGGGACTCCTCTTGGAGTTGTACCTGATTTTATTACCAGTTTTCATCTGAATCCACTGGGGAATGGGATGATTCTGCTTTTGTTTCTTGGCCAGGAATCGCTTGATCCTGAAAGTCTTGAGAGAAGACATGGTCAATTAACAGCGAGCGGCACACAGCAGGATGGCGGCAAAAAAGAAAGACGCTTTGCTTCTCTTTTTAACAACTTTGTTGAGGCACAATTTACATGTCATAAAGTCCACACATTTTTAAGTTCAATGATTTTCTAGTAAAACTGTAGAATTGTGCAAAGATCACCACAACCCGGTTTAGAACATTTCCGCCAGAAACCCCTCATTCACAGCTACTGTCATTCCTACTCCTCATTCCAAGCAACCTCTCACCCACTTCCTCTATAGATTTGCCTTGTTTGATCCTCTCATGTAAATGGAATCATACAGTGTGTAGTTTCTTGTATCTGACTTCTTCTTCTACCATAATATCTAATTGGCTATTTAACCCTCCCCCTGATTTTTTTAACTTAAATTACTATACTTTTGTTTCTAGAAATTCTTTTAAATTTTAATATCTTTTCTTTCTTTTTTTTTTTTTTAAGGAAGTGGGATAGGGGCAGAGGGAGAGAATCTGAAGCAGGCTCCATGCCTAGCATGCATGCCTAGCCCTGATGTGGGGCTCAATCTTCCAACCCTGACGCCTAACCAACTGAGCCACCCGGGTGCCTCAAATTTTAATTTACTTTCAAGTCTTCCTGATGTGATACTATTTTTACATCTTGTTTCTTAAATGTTGTTAGTCATTCTAAACAGAGTTTTTATCCAAAAGATCCATTATCTCAAGTTCGCGGGAGTCTAATCATGCTGATGGTGTCTGTTGAGTCTTGCTCATGAGGGACTGTGTCCTTAAGTATTTTGGAAGGTTTAGCAGGGTTTTATCCTTGAGAATGCTGTGTGGCTTAGGCTGAGGTGTGTTCCCTCAGAACAGTTTCCTGCGTGCCTCTGCCAGGCACCCTCAACTCTAAGTAAATTTCTCCACCTTGGAGCTTCCAGACTAAGCAGAGAATATAAATCCAAACCCCAAACTTATATGAGGACAGTCCTGTGGCTACAGAGTCCCAGCAATGCTTTGTTTTTATGTTTTTTTGTCTTCCTAGCAAGGACACAAGTCGAGACAATCTTGAGCATTCTCTTTTTCTTCCTGTACAAGTGGATGCTTTGTTTTGTTTTGTTCTGGCCTACATTTTTTCTATGGGTCTAGCTCTGTTAAGAAGCCATCTTTTTATTGAAGCCTGGAGATATCATCTGCTTTCCCTATATAGGCATTAATAGCAAATACCCCAAAAAGACACTCCCTATCTATTTTTGACAATGATTATAAGGCAAGAACAGTATGGTCACAGTAAGTTCAGGCCACAGTGACTAAAAAATATTTTATGAAACCATTCTCTTCCCATATATTTGATTATAATTTAAAAAATCAGTTCCTTCCAAAGCCTTCCTAAATTAATGGAGTATCCTACCACCTTATAGGTACCAACATGTTACTCTCCAATGTAGAAGATCTTTTATAGGAAAGTGCTTTGTGAGCTCCAAACGTCTACATTACTATGAATTATTATATGCTAAAAAGGAAGAAAAGGAAGAAGAAAACCCAAGCTTGTAGATTACTGACACTGCAAGTCCCTTAGCCACCTCTCCCTGTCCCATCCCCAGAATTGTAAAGTCAGCTCACGAGTTTACTGCTTTTTTCAACTCTTTCACTTATAGCCCCTGGGAATTTCTCTTACTTTTTCATGAGTCAGGTGTATGTTCCAAAGGATGATTTTTATTTAGCATTTCAAGATGTTTCTCAGCAAGAAGGTTTCCAGGATTAAATCTACATATTATTGGAACTAGAATCTTTATACTTAGCTTGCTCACTGGTCATTGTTTTATGATTTGTGTAATTTTTTTAAAAGATTTTGTTTATTTATTTATTTATTTGAGAGAAAACGCGTGAGTGGGGGGGGAGGGGCAGAGGGAGAGGGAGAAGCAGACTCTCCACTGAGAAGAGAGCCTGACCCTGCTGGATCCCAGGACCTCCGGGATCATGACCAGAGCCAAAGGCAGATGCTTAACGGACTGAGTGACCCAGGCACCCTTGATTTATGTAATTATTTAAAGAATGTTTTACAAATATTGAAAGACGATCCTTCCTTATATGGGTTGAGCCATACTGCACATAGAAAATATTTGCTTGAGAGTCTTTTCTGAGTCCAGTGCTTTTCAAACAAGAGTATGCCTCAGAATCACCTGGAAAGCTTAATAAAAACACAGAATGCTGAGCCTCATCCCCAGAGCTTCCAATTTAATTTTTCCAAGGTGTGCCTGAGAATTTGCATTTCTAACAAATACTCAGGTGATGACAATGCAGTTGGCCCAGAGGACCCCACTTTCAGAAACACTGTCTTGGCTTAATAGATCTAGTCAGAAAGTATTTTACAGGAAAAAAAAAATCCTCTATTAAAATGGAAGCTCATATTAATTATATTTTTGTTTTCTAAAGAGAAGCTTATGTTTTCCCTGCAATCGCATCCTAACTGTTGTATCTACTTCTGTTCTATCCATCCCTTGTCCATTATTCACCTAGCAACTGGAATGATCTTAAATTAATTTCTTGCTTAAATCCTTAAAATGGCATCCCATTACATGCAGAATAAAATCCAAAATCCTCATTCATCTCACATTTTCCAGACATTCTGGCTTTTCCTTTTTCCTAGAACTTTCCAAGTTCTGTCTTGTCTCAGGACCCTTGCACTTGTAATTCCTCTTCCTAGAACGCATTACTCCCTCCCACTTAGTACTTCAACTCTCTGGTTTCTTCCTTCTCTTCAAGTGTCATTTTAAATGTCACTCATCTTGGGGTCCATTCCCTGACCCCAGTATTACTCAGTCTGTAAGAAGCTCTTTTTTTTTTTAAGATTTTATTTATTTATTTGACACACACAGAGAGAGAGATCACAAACAGGCAGAGGCAGGCAGGTGGGGGGAGCAGGCTCCCCACTGAGCAAAGAGCCAGATGCGATGCTCAATCTCAGGACCCTGAGATCATGACCAGAGCCGAAGGCAGAGGATTAACCCACTGAGCCACCCCAGCGCCCCTGTAAGAAGCTCTTCTAATTGGACTCTAAGACACACTGACACAGCTCCGTTATGATTCTTTCTTCTTTTTTTTTTTTTAGATTTTATTTATTTATTTGACAGAGAGAGAAAGAGCACAAGTAGGCAGAGAGGCAGGCAGAGGGAGAGGGGGAAGCAGGCTCTCTGCAGAGCAGAGAGCCCCATGTGGGGCTGGATCCCAGGACCCTGGGACCATGACCTGAGCCGAAGGCAGAGGCTTAACCCACTGAGCCACCCAGGCGCCCCAGCTCTGTTATGATTTTTCCTTCTCAGTGGAAGCAGTGGGATTTCTACACTGTGACTATTGTTTTCAATCCAGAGACGCTGAGGTCTCCATATTTCTCCCAAGAGAAAAATGGTCCACCTGCACTGGGGAAGGAGAACATGGAAGATCTGCAAATGCATTTATTTATTTAACAATTAGGAGAAGTTTATTTATCGGTGTGAAAATAAGGTGAAAGAAGACTGTGACGTGGCAGAAGGAACCAACGAAAGGAACTGAAACCTTCCTCTTCTCTGGATGGGCTTGTAGGCAGCAGCTACAGGGGACCAGTGACCTGTTCTACAGGGGAACCAGTCCTGTGCAGTCCCTACCTGCTCCAAAGGTTGGAGGAGCCTGCCTTGATGGAGAAGTTTGAAGCATTAGTATAAAGCCTGACATTATGAAGAGTGAAGTCTCTAACGAGTTAGCATTTTGGTCTCCTGTCATGGCGACCTAAAAGATTCTGGAAAGAGAAGGACCATCTAATCCTGGAATTTCTAAAACAGAAAGTCCCCTACCCCTGTTGTCACTGTTATAGTTCCCTTATTATCTGCTTCACAGTACAAGACACATTCCTCTTTTTAGTTTTCTTTCTTTCTTTTTTTTTTTTTTTTTAAGTAAGCTCCATGCCCAGTGTGGAGCTCAGTGTAGGGTTTGAACTCACTACCCTGAGATCAAGACCTGAGCTGGGAT